TGCTAATAAATCCAGATTTCGAGAAGAAGTTTTATCTTCACTGTGACGCCAGCGATTTCGGTATTGGCGCTGTATTAGTGCAATTGTCAGAAGATAAAACCGAAAATCCTATCGCATTTATGTCAAAAAAATTAAGTCGAGCCCAACGTAACTATAGTGTTACTGAGCGTGACTGCTTAGCAGTCGTGCTAGCAATAGAAAAGTTCAGATGCTATCTAGAACTCCAAGAATTTGAAGTCGTTACAGACCATTCTAGTTTACTTTGGTTGATGCGTCAGCAAAATGTATCAGGTCGACTGGCCAGATGGATTTTTCGACTGCAACAATTCAAATTTACATTCTTGCGCAGAAAAGGGAAAGATCACGTTGTTCCGGATGCCTTATCCCGACTTTTCGAAGCAGAAGTGGCAGGAATAGACATGAGCCCAGTAATTGATCCCCAATCGGACGCATTTCTAGAAGATTCTTACGTAGCCTTGAAAAGGAACTATACTGACAATCAAGCTAAATTTCCCGATATAAAGATAATAGATAAATATTTATATTTTAGAACCGAACACGCTGAAGGAAATGCAGAGCAAGATAAACTATCGTGGGAACTATGGGTTCCGGAAAGTTTACGAGCTAATACTCTTAAACAGGCCCATGATAGTTTGACATCCGCCCATGCGGGAATTCACAAGACGATAGAAAAACTGAGACGTCAATTATTTTGGCCAGGTTTATCCAAGGATGTTAGAGATTATATCCGTTCTTGCGATTCCTGTAAGGCCAATAAAGCGACAAACCAGACGCTACGTCCACCTATGGGTTCTCACATACCGACCGTTCGGCCATTTCAAAGACTTTACATTGATCTCCTTGGACCGTATCCACGAAGTAAGAAAGGCCATGTAGGCTTACTAATTGTGCTGGACCACTTTAGTAAATATCACTGGTTGCAGCCATTAAAAAAATTCACGTCGATAGCCATACAAAAATTTCTTTTAACCCAAATTTTCCACTGTTATGGAGTCCCGGAAACTATCGTTAGTGACAATGGAAGCCAATTTAAATCGTCAGATTTTAATGCATTCTTAACCGAATTAGGTATTAATCAGGTTTATACTGCTCTATACTCTCCTCAGAGTAATGCAGTAGAACGTGTAAACAGATCCCTGTTAGCAGCTATTCGGTCTTACTTAAAACATGATCAGCGAGAATGGGACTTGCATCTCACTAGTATATCTTGTTCACTAAGATCGGCGCTTCATCAATCGTTAGGTTGTTCCCCGTATCGCGCACTTTTCGGCCTAGATATGATCACCCATGGGTCCGATTACAAGTTGCTAAAGAAATTGTCCCTACTGGAAGAGCCAATGGTACCGCTTTCTCGAACAGATAATTTGGTCTTGATACGTAAAGACATTCAAGCTAATATACGTCGAGCTTATGACCGTAATGTTGTCCAATATAATTTGCGAGCCAAGCCTGTTTCCTTCCGAGAAGGACAGGAAGTCTATTGTCGCAGTTTCGCTCAAAGCAAGTTTTCTGATAACTTTAACGCCAAACTGGGACCGAAATTTATTAAATGTCGAATTAAAAGGAAACTTGGAAATTGTTATTACCAACTTGAGAATTTGAAAGGTAGAGATATAGGAACTTTTCATGCCAAAGATATGCGAAGCTAATTCCCACTAATATTTCATCTAACGAAGAAATATTATCGGGTGGTGTAACGGCCGTTGGTCGTTAGGGTTTTCTTTTGATCAAAACAATTTAGAAAAAAAAAACAAATCAAATGGCAAAATCAAGCTTTTGCATAAGCCCATGCATCGGCTGATCTTAAGCTTTCGCTCTTCATTCAGCACCACGGGCTTAATTATCTACACTGACCAGCGCAGCCAACTTTGCTCGAAACTTCCAATGGAAGTTTTGGAAATTTGCACTATATAAACACCACGCGGCGTCATTCCATCTCTTCTGATTGACTGAAAGAACACTCCGCTTGCCAGAGAGTAATATAAACCAGAATAAATCAAAAATTTTCCATACAACCCGCACACGTGTGTCTTCGCCGAAGTGATCGAATCAAGTAGTGAATGCCGACAGCCAAAACCATACCTTTCAGTGCTTTGGATGGTTGTTGCTTCCTAAAATATCATTTATTTTCGTGAACAAAATCGTTTCCCAAATCACGTGGTGCCTAGACGGAAAATCCTGAGGAGAATCGCAGCTATTTTTAGTTGGTGTTAGCAACGTAGACTTTATCTAAAGGTATGTAGTCAATCTAACTAGTTTCGTTAGTCTGAAAGTGAATTTCTATTTAGTGTTGCCTGTACGTCGGAAACTTTGTCCGCCCGTATCCATCCACGGCAATATTGCTGCTGGACGGATACAAATTTTATATCGTGGATTTCGGCATAACTACAACTTTGGAGAATACCCTATGTGGATGCTAGTGCTATAATTGTCCTCCAATTCAGGCCCCTCGGCTGTTGAGTCCGCTCCTGGGCTGAAGCAAAGCCGTATCAGGGCAGCGCAGTAGCCAAGCAGCGCAGTCGCCAAGCAGTGCAGTAGTAGCAGAGGCCGCAGCAAAGCAAAGGCGCAGTGGCAAAGCAGTAGCAAAGCAGAGGCCGAAGCAGCGCAGCGGCAGAGGCAGACAAAGGAGAATGCATCGATCGAGTTAAGGGAGTAGAAAAAGAGTAGTGGGGATGACGATTGTGAGAATGTTGCAAAATTACATGTGTTAACCAATATGTGAACCAAATAATTAAAGTCTTAAATTTTTAGAAATTAAGCTGTCGTACGCTCATGAGAATTTAAATGCAATAATAAGCTCTCCTTTTTGCCCATTCAACATGATGATCAGCATCAACCTCACCACGTTGGAAGGCCTTTCATCGCTGGAGTAAACAATGAAGTTTGTGAGTACTATACGAAAGTTGTCTACCGCTTATTTGTATTTATCTTCTCAAAATTATTGAGCCGATCCCAAAGTAATATTGAGGAAAAAAAAAATAAACCCTTTGATGATAGCTATTTCTGAATAGGCAATTCTATTAAGTTCTTGTTGTTATTCTTGCACATATTATATTAAACCTAGAAAAATAAGAACCATGATTTAAACATTAAAATATTATTGCACATTCTCCCCAATTATAATGCTTCCCTGAAACAACGTTATGAAACCACTGAAATAATTAAAACGTTAAGATCTGTTAAGAAAAATTTAGAATGTAATCAGAAACACCACTCACTAGGAGATAAGATGACTTATCGCTATTCCGTATTGTTAAATTTGATTATGAAAGGTATTGGATATATTAAATTGTGAATTTTGGAATCTGAAATTATGAAGTGCCAAGGTTTTTTTATGCTTTCCTGGATTGACATGGCAACTTAAAGAAATTCGGAGGAATCTTTGGGTATCTTCTAAAAGAAAAATTGTTATAGAGATCATGGTTGGGTTGGGTAGAGAGCGACAACGAGAGTCGAATAACATCTGAGACCTCACGTCGATTTTCATATTTAGTAGTCCACCTTTTTCTGCAATTATTTGAATATTAGTACTTGTTATGGACCTTTGAGATATATTTTTTTGTGAGAGTTAAGTTCTCCTTTTGTAGTTTCCGCAGGAATCCTAAAACTAAAAGTTATGTGAATATGGTAAGGGACGGCAACAACCCACCCCACTCGCCGAATGAGCTTAGGCACCAGAGGTTTCCGCCCGCCGATATTCCCAAACCAGGATAGTGTGTGAGAGACGGGCTAACTGTCCAGTGGATAGCATAGGCCCTGAGCATTCGTCATATACCGCTCCCCTCCACAGACACGTTGCGCATTACAAGATTAACCATTTTGAAGTCTAGTGCAGTTTTCATTGAAATGTTGTTCGCATCGCAAGACTTCGGGCAACTGCTGGCTTTGCTGATCTAAATTCCTCAGTTTCCCATAATTTCTTAATACTGGCAGCTAAAAAAGATTTATGATTTAGCTTATTTTATTTCCCTCCAGAAATGATCCACCCAAGTTTGGTGTTCTGAAATGTCCGGGGTCATCTATACTAATACTAGCAAACCCGGCGAACTTTGTTCTGCCTTTTTTGGGAAAAATTACAAAAATAATCAAAAACCTACATTAATAATTAATTTTTGTTTCTGTATTTTGGTACATAGGCGTCGATCAAGTTTTTCTTCCATGTTTCATTTCTTAATGATACATCTGCTGAAGATTTCTCGAAGCAATTGCTGACTATCGGCAATGGTCAAGTACCTGTCGATGAATCGAGCGGATTAATATCATTTCCAAATAATTTTTGTAATTTTGTCTCATTAAAAGAGGAACTTATCAACAATGTATTTTCAAACATTATTTCTAACTACAAAAATAAGGAATGGTTGAGTGAGAGAGCAATTTTAGCGGCTAAGAATAAAGATGTTGACGACCTGAACTACATAATTCAAAATAAGATCATTGGAACAATGCATTCATTCAAATCTATTGACTGCGTCACAAATACAGATGAAGCCACCAACTATCCAATTGAATTTTTAAACTCTTTGGACGTGCCTGGTGTAGATCCAAAAAGGGGTCTACTGCTAATGTGGCCCTGTGCCACAAGCAACTTCAGAGCAAATATCAATAATATAATTGAAGGCCAACTTGCATAAGCGGACGGGACAGACAATGTAATAATAAGTGCGTGTGCTTCGTTTCAGTTCTTTTCTCAAGTGATCGTTATAATTTTCCATATTTGTTCTTAAGCTAAGCGCTGGCATAATTGCGCTTGTATATGTAAGCATGCAAATCGTAGATAACAATAGATAAATTTTGATATGCAAGAGAGATTCAAGTGAGAGCGACTATTTAAGAGCGTAATGTTAGCTTAAGAGTAGTACTTCAATTCGAGCGTAACATAAGAGTATTGGCTTTGGCTATAATTACATATAAATATATATCTACTAAGTAGGACTTCATGAAATGACTTAACATCGGCCGCGTTGAACGACTGCAAGGCTTCAAAATTCATTCACAGGCAAAGGAGCTAATCGACGTATTGATCGCTTAAAAACGCCAGATTTAGTTCTGACGACCGCCACGCGAACTTTTCCATCCTCGCCTTTGATGGCCTCCTCGATGACTCCTATTAGCCACTGTTGAGGCGGACTGTTGTCCTCGTGGACCACGACGATGGTTCCGATTTGTATATTGTGGCTCTCGCTTAGCCACTTCTGTCGTTGTTGCAGGCTCAGGACGTAGTCTTTTTGCCAGTCTACCCAAAACCGTTGCTTGACGGCGGATATCAGTTGCCATCTCTTCAAGTAGCTCAGTTTGCCGTCTGTTACTGGCTGACTTGACACGAATGGCAGCGCAACGAGCGTTGTTCCGACCAGCAGATGAGCTGGGGTTACTGCTTCGCCGTCGTTTGGGTTGGAGCTGTCCACGACGATGGGCCTCGAATAGAGAATGGCTTCGACTTCTACCAAGACGGTGTTCAACTCGTCCTGTCGGAGCACTGCGCTGCCCACGGCCTTGACCATTAATCCCTTTGCTGATTTCTCGGCCGCCTCCCATAGGCCGCCAAAATGGGGCGCTCGGGGCGGGATGAACGAGAAGGTGATCCCACGCGTGGCTGCGAACTCCGTTATGGCATCCTGGTTGGCAATGAAATGGTCCCTGAACTCCTGCAGCATTCGGGAAGCACCGACAAATTTGGTGGCATTGTCGCAGAAAATTTTCTGGACACGTCCACGCCGGCCAACAAACCTAGACAAACACATAATAAATGATTTAGATGTGAGGTCTGAAACAAGTTCTATGTGAACAGCTTTAGAGGAAAAACAAACAAATATGGCAATATACATCTTTACCGCTGACTTCCCTCTAATTCCTAAGGTTACGAAAATTGGACCACAAAAGTCCACTCCTTCGAACGGCTTCGAAGGCCTATTGCCGTGAAGACGATCAGCAGGTAAATTTCCCATTATTTGGGTTGCCAAGACTGGCTTATAGTGAAAACAATGTACACACTGCCGTACAATGCTATTACACGCTTGACGAGCGTTCACCAACCAAATTTGCTGCCGAAGAATAGCCATCAAAGCACGTGGACCTGCATGACAATTTGAACGATGCAAATATTGTAGATATATTTTAACGAAACGGCTATCTTTTGGCATGAGCAACGGGAACTTAGCATTGTGTGGAACAGGAGCTTTCAACAAACGACCGCCGACTCTAAGCAGCCACCACACATGCTTGCCATCTTGATGAGGATACAAGAATGGATTTAGTTTCTGAAAACTTGGTTGTAACGTCAAAGATTTATTTAGCCTCGCAATTTCATTTGCGAACTCGATTCGCTGCAATGCAGACACCACTGCTAAAAACGCTGAACTCAGTTCTTCCGCTGATGGCACGAGTGAAGTCTGTTTGTGCGATTTTCCATTGATAAATCGGAGCATATATGATACGATGCGCAGAATTTTCAAATATGACGAAGATTTGTCAACGAGGTCCAAAAAGGATTATCCAGTGCATCGGCCGCGATCAAGACTGTGGCATCCTTCCGCATCTCTAGCACAGAGAGATCGTTGGGGGGTTCTAGGTGGTAGTTTACTGGCCAAGAGGTTTTATTTTCCTGTAAGAAGTTTGGGCCCGTAAACCAGATTGATTCCCTGAGCTCACTAGTTGAGCAACCACGTGAAAGGATGTCCGCTGGATTCGCGTTGGTAGGCGCATGACGCCAGACAGCTTGTGAAGTCAATTCTTGAATTTCTGCTACACGATTCGCAACAAATGTATTTAGGTATGATGGGTGCTTCTTGATCCAATACAGCACCACCTCAGAGTCCGACCACAAAAAAACGTCGTCCACTGGTGAGTTCAACAGATCCCTTATTTCACTCCATAGCTTCGCCAGTAAGTGAGCAGCGCATAATTCCAACCAAGGCACAGACTTGGTTTTGAGAGGTGCCACTCTCGACTTGGCTGTGAGCAATCGTGTAAACGTTCCCTTCCGATGCTCCACTCTGACATAAATGCAGCAGCCGTATGCTCTCTTTGACGCATCGGCGAATCCGTGAATTTGGTATTTAATATTTTTTCTAATTCCGATATGTCGAGGTATGTTAAGCGAGTCCCTTCCGATGCTCCACTCTGACATAAATGCAGCAGCCGTATGCTCTCTTTGACGCATCGGCGAATCCGTGAATTTGGTATTTAATATTTTTTCTAATTCCGATATGTCGAGGTATGTTAAGCGAGTCTAGATTCGAGAAGCAATTAGTCACCGATTTTAATTGCTCAATTAAATCTGTGGGCAATGCTTCATCCCAATCTAACTTATGCAGCCAGATTTCTTGAATGAGAATTTTTGCACGAGTAACAATTGGACACAATAATCCAAGTGGGTCATACAAACGTGCTACAAACGATAGAATAGACCTCTTAGTCGGCACAAAATCGAGTGAAAGATGGTCTGCGGAGTATTTGAACACATCACTTCTGGGATTCCAAATCAAACCCAAAGTTTTGGTGTCTTCTTGCGACCCAATTGTAATGGACGCATCAGAAACTTGGAATTGTTGGCAGTTTGAAGACCATTTGGCTAAACCAAATCCAAATGGTTTTAATACAGAGTCCAACTCCTGCTGCAGTAGCCCTAATTCCTCTGGCGTTTCTGCTCCCGCTAATAAATCATCGACATAAAAATCATTCGCAAGTGATTTCGATGCTAATTTTTGCGATGTTGCGTGTATTTCACTCAAATATTTCAGGCACCGGATAGCCAAAAAGGTGCTGACGCAGTGCCGTATTTAACAGTGTTCAATTGATATATTTGTAATTGATCTTTCGGGTTTTCTCTCCAGAGGATTAATTGAAAACATCTCTGGGTCTCGTCAATTTCCACTTGACGGTACATCTTAGTGATGTCTGCAGTAATTGCGTAAGGATTCAATCGAAAACGAAGCAAAGTTGCGTAGAGAGATGGTTGTATCGTTGGACCAACCATAAGCGTGTCATTAAGCGACATTTGTGATGACGTTTAGCTTGACGCATCGAAGACGACTCGCAACTTTGTTGAAGAGCTTTGCGGTCTGAGCACACACTGGTATGGGATAAAATAATGTGGCTCACTCGGGACTGTGTTACTGATTGCACTCATATGACCAAGAGAAATGTATTCTTTCATAAAAGAAATATACATGTCTCGGACTTCCGCTTGTTTTTCCATTCGCCTCTCCAGGCCAAGAAATCGCCTCTTAGCTGTCTCAAAGGACGAGCCAAGACAAGTCGGACTAGATTTAAACGGCAATTTAACACTTAGCCTGCCCGAAGGTAATCTGTTCACAGATTCAGTGAACGATTGCTCGCAAAGTAGCTGTTCTGGGGTATATAAATTTGGATTCGCAGTATTTGGAGCTTGCTCCAACTCCCAGAACTTTTTAACAATTGAGTCTAACGACGATTCACCAGTTGTACTTAATAACGTCGTTGAGCAAGCATTTGCATCTGGTGGGGCTTTACAACGACCAGACACGATCCAACCAAAAACTGTTTCACGTAAAGTTAAAGACTCTTGTTTACACCTCAGACGCCCATCTTTAAGAAGATCGAAGAAAGCGTCTGCCCCAAGCAGCAAGTCTACGCGTTGCGGCTTATGAAAAAGGGGGTCAGCGAGATCAATATGACTTGGAATGTCAACATTTTCTACAAGCCTTTCGGGTTGATAGGACGTGATAGATTTTAATATACTTAATTCAGTCATCGTTTCAAAGAAATTCAAACGAGAGGCAATATCAGTTTGAACTGCATGCCGAATGGCAGATTTTGTCTTGCCTTTGCCTACTAAATTTATATCTTTGCGCGATTTGGGTAATTTCAAAATATTGGCCAGGTTTTCGGTAATAAAATTGACCTGGGACCCAGAATCTAAGAGTGCTCTGGCCATATGGTAAGATCCCAACTGATCTTTTATTTTTACAACTGCGGTAGCTAATACGACTTGGTCAGAATCACTAGCAGCGAGATTGGCGGACGACACTTGACTAGATGTCGAAGTTTGTGCTGGTGGAGCTTGAGATTCTATTGCATACCTATGCAGTAAAGTATGATGCGGCTTTGAACAGACTCTGCAAGTGCTCGACTTGCAGGTAGTAACTGTGTGGCCTTTTCGTAGGCAATTTATACACAGGGGGAACGATTTTACAAACTTAAGGGGTTATATACCTTTATCATTTTCAAAAAATTCGAAAAATTTTTTATTGCTTTATCTTAAAGAACAACTCCTTGAGAACATTTTCCCAAATTTTCATAGAGATTCGAGCAGTAGAAAAAAGTTACAGCGCTCCTAACCGCGCGCCTCGTAGCGGCCCGAAACTGAACTTGAAACTTTAAACGCGAATATCTCGAAATGGTGTTTCTTGAAAAATGACTTTGCGGTGATAACGATTGGCGGAAAACTACTAAGCCGATTTACTTCAAATTTTTTTTTAAATGTTCGTAATGAAATTGTCTTGTGCTTGAACGATCGACTTTTCACGCAAAAATTTTTTTTCGCCGAAATGAATTTTTTAGTGAAATTTCTAGAGACCAAAAAGCTCATTTTTAGCATAAAACGTTCCCGTATGCATAAAAAAATAAAAAATTTTTAAATCGTTCGTTCAAGCACAAGATATTACTCTAAACTAATGAAATTTTTTTACTTTTATGGTCTCAGTTGACCGGTTGGACCAGGAGCGTTATCACCGCAAGGCTCTAAAAAAAAAGGTCTCTAAGGGAAACAGCCACCCCTTAAAAACTAATTGATATTTTTCCACAAAATTTTGCACAAACATAGTTAATAAAGTGTACTATCAAAAAATGAAAACACCCGTGTAATTAAATTATTGCTACATACCTAAAAAAAAATCCGAACTTTCCTCTTTTTCTTCGACAAAAAAGGTATATAACCCCTTAAAACGATTATTGCATGGGATAGCAGCAAAGGAGGAACAAGATTGAATGAAGTGATCATCCGATTTGCAAAACGAGCATTTTGGATTATGCTGTTCATTTGGCTTAGCCACTGTTAGCGACGTTTTTCCTCCCTTTTTTCCACCATTGCGATCATATTTTTGAGAGGTGCTGGTACCTTTTATTAAGGGCCTTTTCGCAATAATCCCAAAGTGGCAGTTTTGTATAATCTAAATTCTCCTCCCATTTTGACCTAGTCGTAGAATCCACCTTGCCCATAACTAAGTGTATTAGCATAGCGTTGGAGATCTGTTTGTCATTTCCTAAAGACAACAACGACTCATACACCGCTGTTACTGTGTCTATCAACGAACGCAGTGAAGACGCAGATGCTCCATGCATTTTTGGAAGGTCGAATAACTTTGAAATACTCTCAAACACAATCAAGCAACTGTTATCGTAAACGTTTTTTATGGCAGCTAATGCTTTTGGGTAATTAGCATCGGTTACTTGATACGATTTCACCGTGCCTAAAGCCTCTTTCTCTAAGCAAGACAACAAATAGTTAAATTTTTCAACATTTGAAAGAGAAAGGTCATTTTCAACGAGGTTTTCGAACAGTCCTATAAAATTCTTATATTCCGAATACTCCCCACCAAACCTTGGCAGTTTCATATGGGGCAGTTTTTTGCTCTGAGCAGGAGTTGACCCTATCATGGTTGAATTCGCATGATTGTCTTTAATAACGTGTTGACTAGTGCCTTTGCTTTTAAGCAGAGCCTTTGTAGTTGCACACAGGTCTTCTAGATCAGCTCGAGAAACAAGCTCGGTATTAATGTCATCCAAATCCTGTTGAATATTAAAGGCTTTTCCTACATATCGATCCAGTATTTCCAAGCGGCAATCAATTTCAATTGGGTCGACGTACCCTGAGTAATTTTTAACTGTAGTTTTAATACGCTCAATATCAGCAACAACATTTTTGTATTGATCTAGCAATGTATCAAGGCGACCCAAAGTGGTTTCC